CCCCCAGGGAATGAACGTGAGCCCAGTTAGGAATCATGGCCCCTTGCAGAGACGCGACAGCCTCATTCAGCAAGGAGTCCTGAGGCAGGCTGTAATCAGCAAGTGCCCGATGATAGGTTGTCCAACCAGCCTGGGTGATTTTCCACCGTGAACGAACTGCCATCACCGGCACTGCTAAGGCTTCATTTGTAGAAGTAAGTACTGGAAGATGGTCACTCCCCATGAAGGGGCCTACAGTAACAGTAGCTGTAGTAAAATATCCACACCCAAGAACGAGGTCTAGGGTAGAAACTCGCCCAATGTAAGGATCCACTCTAGTCTCCAAACCTGGTGGTGTGAGCAACGAAAGGTGAGATGCGAGGAGGGTTTGGAACAGGGCCCCACCTGTGGGATTCACTGATCCCAAAGAAGTGGATGGCTCCCAGAACTGGTGCCTTGCATTAAAGTTTCCCATCACAAGCGTAGAACCACGGAGTTGTCCAAAGTAATAATTCACTTTGTGTAACTGACCTGCCCGGATTATAGATCAGGAGTATGTTGCACCACTGAGTGCCCAAGGCAACTCTGACAGCCAGAGTTTCCAACACTCCACTCTCATAGGCTTGGAGGGAGAGGGTTGTACTCTGGAGCCGGTTGCATACAAGAAGAGCTAGGCCACCTCCGCTCCCTTCAAGGCGATCCCTACGGTAAACAGTGAAGCCAGGCATCTGAAAAGAATGTCGAGGGCGTAACCATGTCTCAGAGAGACCCACCACCAGTGGCTGTACCTCAGCCAGATACCTCTGAAGGTCTGGAAGCTTCCCCAGTACAGAACGTGCATTCCAAAGAAGAAAAACAGAGGGTGAGAAAGGTTCACGTGTGTGAACTAAGCAGCCCAATAAGGCGAGGGAGAACCGAGAGACATGCAGTCACAAAAGAGGTGCCCTGGAGGTAAGAATGTAGCACCTCCTCCACCAGGAGGAGGATAGGATGAAGGAATAAAGACCCAGGCAGGCGAGAGTGAGAAAGCGGGACCTTCAGACATGAAGGGCCCTAGAGTGGAAACAGGCCGAGGCTGGGGTTGAGGAGAATTGGGGGGGGGTAGTCGGCTGCGAGACGGAGACTCCGGGTCGGGTATGATGTCCATCTGAACTGGGTGGGGTTCTGAACAAACGAGTCGATTTGGGAACTGTACCACCTCGACGGGAGGATGTGCATTGTGGACGAGGGGGGGCATGTGCAATAATTTCTGCAATGGAAGCCGGGTCCGAGGACACCCTAAGTTGATGTTGCCCCAGGGGTGGGGAATCCTCTAAGGTAAAGAGAGGTCCGCAAGACCTGGAGTTTACCTGGAGAGAGTTTCGGGGTCAACGCCCCCGCGGCCCGGTCTGTGACCAGGCCTCCTGGTGGATCAGCGCCTGATCAACCAGGCTGTTGCTGCTGGCTGCACGCAAACCAACGTACGAGCCACAGCCCGGCTGATCAGGAACTGACTTTAGGTGCTTGTCCAGTGCCAGCTTGAAGACTGCCAGGGGTCTGTTGGTAATCCCCCTTATGTGTGCTGGGAGGCAGTTGAACAGTCTCGGGGCCCCTGACACTTATTGTATGGTCTCTTAAACGTGCTGGTGACACCCCTGCTTTTTATTGGGGGATGGTGCATCGTCTGCCAAGTCTTTTGCTTTCGTAGTGAGTGATTTTCGTGTGCAAGTTCGGTACTAGTCCTTCTAGGATTTTCCAGGTGTATATAATCATGTATCTCTCCCTCCTGCGTTCCAGGGAATACAGGTTTAGAAACCTCAAGCGCTCCCAGTAATTGAGGTGTTTTATCTCCGTTATGCGCGCCGTGAAAGTTCTCTGTACATTTTCTAGGTCGGCAATTTCACCTGCCTTGAAAGGTGCTGTTAGAGTGCAGCAATATTCCAGCCTAGATAGAACAAGTGACCTGAAGAGTGTCATCATGGGCTTGGCCTCCCTAGTTTTGAAGGTTCTCATTATCCATCCTATCTTTTTCTAGCAGATGCGATTGATACAATGTTATGGTCCTTGAAGGTGAGATCCTCCGACATAATCACTCCCAGGTCTTTGACGTTGGTGTTTCGCTCTATTTTGTGGCCAGAATTTTTTTTGTACCTGATGAAGATTTAATTTCCTCATGTTTACCATATCTGAGTAATTGAAATTTCTCATCGTTTTAACTTCATATTGTTTTCTGCAGCCCACTGAAAGATTTGGTTGATGTCCGCCTGGAGCCTTGCAGTGTCTGCAATGGAAGACACTGTCATGCAGATTTTTGGGTGTCATCTGCAAAGGAAGAAAACGGTGCTGTGGCTGACATCCTTGTCTATGTCGGATATGAGGATGAGGAACAAGATGGGAGCTAGTACTGTGCCTTGTGGAACAGAGCTTTTCAACCCGTAGCTGCCTCGGACTTTAAATCTGTTGACGACTACTCTCTGTGTTCTGTGAGTGAGGAAATTATAGATCCATTTGACCGACTTTTCCTGTTATTCCTTTAGCGCGCATTTTGTGCGCTATTACGCCATGGTCACAAATTGTCGAAGGCTTTTGCAAAGTCTGTATATATTACATCTGCATTATTTTTGTTTCTAGTGCATTTAGGACTTGTCGTAGTGATCCAGTAGTTGAGACAGACAGGAGGGGACCTGTTCTAAACCCAGTTGCCCTGGGTTGTGTAACTGATGGGTTTCTAGATGGGTGGTGATCTTGCTTCTTAGGACCCTTTCAAAGATTTTTATGAGCCCCAAACCGATTTGTAAAAGGGATATTAGCCCTCACAGCTGTGGAGTACAGATGCCTGGCCGTGTTGGTGTTGGGAAGACTCCCTTAGTGGGGGGCACTGGAGGTGAAGGAGGCAGGGCTGACGGACTGTGACTGGCTTTACGGACTGCAAGCAGGAGTTACATTCATCGAGCGTACAAGACCGGGCCCTGGCTGAGTTTGCCAGATCAAGAGCCTGGCGATATGCTGGGCAAGACCGGGAGGTAACCTTGTGGTTCCCCTTACAGAAGTAGCATGAAGCCGGGTGGGTACAGGTGATGCCGTCTTTAACTACTGGGTGAAACCCGCTGCAGTTTGCACATCTTACCTTACCATGGCAAGACAATTCTCCATGCCCGAAAAGGAAACATTCCCGACACCGGAGTAAAGGAAAAGTATAAAGAAGAACAGGAAATCTTAGATTGCCAAAAGTCACAAATTTCGGGAGGGCACCCGAGAAACATACACAAACCATATGAGATGGGGTAAGACGATTCGAGAGGCTCCAAACCTCCCGCAAACCTAAGTCGTCACCCCCACTGTGAACCAATTCAGAGTGGATCTCGTCATCTGAGAGGGATGTAGAAATCGGTCCAATTCTGCCGTAACAACAGCCAGCGGCGAGGATTGAGGAGCGGACCTCCCAGCAAACAACATTCCACCTACCCAGAACATGAATGGCATTTAATGGCAAATTTCTAGCCAGAAAAGACTTACGATGGAGCCGGAGCCTTAGGGCTGCACCCCTACCGAGTTGTTGGACGCCCCCATCTATGCAAGCCTTGCCGAAAGGAGATCCACTGATGGCGTTGGTGACATCCCGTGGGTTGGTGAAGGGAATACCGCCATCCTTAGGGCGCACAAGAACCACCACGTCTGGAGTAATATGAGGAGAAGGAGCATAGTCTGGACAAGTGGTGGGTTGGCGTTTTGGGCTAGACAGGGGCCTGGCACCGTCGTCAACCTCAAGGGCCCGTTTGTTTATCCCAGTAGGGGGCACACTAGCCATATCTTGGTCCGACAGTAGTGAAACAGAGTTGTCAACTGAGTAGAGACAGAAGGGGGAGTCCCTCCCTATTGGGGCGAACTACATCTCAGTCGAATCCCCGCATTAAATGTCCACACACACCGGCCTTGAAGGGCGAAGACAATGACAACTCAAGCACACAAAAAAGAAAGACGTGAAGCATGAGCTAATTAGGGTCTACACCACCAAGTAACAACTGAGGACCTTCAGAAGACCGTCTCACTCCACCCATGCCGCCGAGTCTCCGCGAGCCCTGACATCCTTCCTCTTGTTTGGTTTGGCAAAGGACTACTGAACGTAAAGCCTATACAAACATGCTTTCAAACTTGCTTCACCATGTAATTATAAATAAATAAATAAATAATTAATAATAATAATCTTTATTTTTACAAGTACAAATGCTAGATATACGACGCCTCTAGTGTTCATTAAGAAATCAGGAAACCCCTTATTCTGTGCCCACATGTAATACTATGGACCCAAGCAACTTAGACATGGGTGAAATTTCCGGTCACTTAAAAACAACGGATACAGCCCCCGCAATAAGTTTTTATAGACCATGCATGAACTGTATCACTGTATGCAACAAGAGCATTTCACCCCTTCATGAAGATGTGCCCATT